CACGCAACAGAACACAGGAACATCAGCGGCCGGTCAGGGTCGCCACAATATATAATCACATCAGTAATTTCCATCCACCATTTGCTCTACATGTTAGTGATGGCCGTCTGACACCGATGCTCCGATACAAGCTTCAAACTCTAAGAGGCATTTTCCTTGAACCACTGCTTCGAAGCTTGCTTGGGTGCGGAAAAAGACACATAACCGATGACGTCCAAAGCAGAAACTACTTCGGTCCATTGAGTGAATGAAGTGACTGGTTCAACCAGTCAATACTGCATAGTAATACGAGCCCTTGCTGTGTGCGCTTCAGCAATTCTGTAGGCGCATAAAAGCACTATATACATGACAGATCCTCCCTTGGAAAGTTGTGAAGATCCTCTGACCTAGTGGAACGAGCACAAAAATGTTTAGCTATATTTGTTTTGGCTAGCAAATACCGATGTACACCAGCCTCATCTGTGCCATGTGAATGTGTGTTTTCAAAAGCTGGAAAAGTTGTCAACAAAAAAATATATATTTTCTCAAAAATTTTTGAATCTCCATCCTGTGTACATAATCACACCCTGCCCTAGTTACAAAAGCACACCCTAGCACATCCTTTGTTTCCTCAAGCACACCTTCTCTCAACTACTACACTACATATGTTTACAGAATCACCCGACCGATCAATCTTTACAAAAGTGTATTTACATCAAAGCCTAGTTACACCCATCATATAATTAAGACATTGTTTTGCTGTCTCCTATTTCACCACTAGATGTCACTGAAACAGACCTTTGAATGAATGAACCCATGTTCTATACAATTGATGAAGTGGTTCAATACTGGTTCATTGCTTCATTTGGACATCACTAGTCAATGTTATTCACTTCACCTGCCAGTGGTCATAATATTATGCCTGATCGGTGTAATTAGCATTTTCATTTTGTTAACACAGGCAGACCTTGTATTTTCTAAATCTTTTCTATTTGCAGATGGAATCATTACAAAATGTGTACTCTGTGCTTTCCCACTTATCAAAATTTTGCCATGTGACAATTACCCTTGTTCTCGGTGATAACGAAGCATGTGTCAATTCCAACACTGCAAATATTTAAACTGTTAAAGCACAGTTTTATCTGGATCATATTGAGATTTCAAAGGTCACTAATGAGGTGTGGTTCTCTCAGGATGAAGAAATTAAATGAGACTGTTAAATGTGACTAACAGTAATATGGAGGAGGAGGAGGGGAGGAGGGGGGTAATCACATGGTAAGATGACAGCCATGACTTTAGATTCTGTTCATGTAGCATGATCAAATTCAGGGTGGCTTATAACCAACTCCAGCAAAACCACATCAATGTGACAGTTCGTCACACCACCACCACCACCATCATCACCACCACCATCATCATCATCTGTAGCCTAGAGAACACACAAAGCTCAGCCACCATGGAAGTATCTAAAAAGATCGACACAAATCTCCCTTCAAAATGTAAAGTAACAAAACCCTCTGTGTGGAGGGAACCCGACCTCGTTGCCCGCATCAGAGGTGCAAATGATGAGAAGCATCAACAGCACAAATGACTATGATACTAGGTAACTTATGCAAGTTAGTTGCACATTTTGGCACAACTCCGTACACGAAGTCGAGTGTGAGAAAGGCCGGCTTTAACTCCCTAAAACAAGCCCCACTCTACCCCAGTGGTTTTATTTATCTTACCTGATATCATAATTATAAATACAGCCAACAATAAGGCACGTGAATAACTGTAACTTGAATTACAACTGTTGCGTAAATTGGCACTGCTCGCTGTCCCAACATTGAGCGCACCTGGAAGTAACTCAAAAGCTTATTGACGTGGTAAGCTAACATTTAGCTAACTGCTAAATCTGACGGGAACTGTACCAAAAGATACTCACTTGAACTTGATTTAAATCTCCGGGGACTGTCGAGAGTAAAGGAATAATACGGCCCGCTGTATCTGGTGAGCAGTTATCTCCGCTTCCTCCTTTTTTTTTTTCTGCTTAAATCCTCCTCCTGACCCAACCCTTTGGTGGAGCAAGAAAAAGGTGGAGTCATCTCTACTCGTGAAGTTGTCGCTCAATATGGACGTAATCGACTGACTGCATCAAATGCCAATCATCACCGGTCCAAAGTCAATCAGTACTGCTTCGTTCCAGCGGATTTAGTACTATAAGTGATGCTTGTACAAAACAATAAAGGTGTTATCCCACTTCTGATAGGAGGTACAGGTACAGTAGATGATGAACACACTATAATTTTTTTTTTATTGTTCGTGTAAAAAGAGCCATAGTCCACATATATGTGTTATCATATTACAAAATAATGCACAATAAATGATTAAATTATCATACTGAAAACATATATGTATTCAACAAAAAGACTAGAGGCTGAGCTGTGTGCCACCACTTTTATTCTTTTTAACAGTCTTTATCTTGCACTGCACACTGTTGGATACAAAATGACACATTTACACAATGCTGTTATCATTCATTTATTCACAGTAAACATAAGAATGTGCTTATACTATACATGTCTGTCAAACAATAGCAGCATAACAGTAGGTTATAAACCAAGCCTCAGCTCCAACACAATATACATCAGTTTATTTAACACTTTTTAAATTTTAAACTTGAACTCTGTAAACAACTCTACACTTGCAGCCTAAAGGAAGTTGGATGGAAACTCTAATCTTGTAAGTGATGTTATCCTGGTGGTGAATGTTACCTAATGATTACACAGAGATTTCAATGATTCAGCAGCAAAGTTGTAGAACAACATGCCAGACGGTCTCTGTCTGTCTGGTCGTAAATTTGTAAGTAATAAACTGTTCATTGGCTGCTTTAAGTGAGAGCCTTCTTTGACCTGGGAGAGACAAAGGACAGAAGCAGAAAGGACCACTTCTCCTATACCATCAGTAACCCGTGACAGGTTTAAATACAGGCAAGAAGATTTCAACACAGAAATACTGTAAAACATTTTCTTCTCCCCTTTGACACTAAAATACATGGAAGATGTCTAGTATATTTAATATAAATATGAAAATGTCTGGAATGTACATTGTATCTATTTTTATAATTTTGGTTTTACTTAAATACAGATGGTATCAAAACTTGTTTACAGGCAGATTGCATTGTTGGATTAAAACCTTGTGCTTATTTCATGGCTTTGTGTGGAATCTGGACAACTGCTCAGAGTGACAGGAAATGTGGGTGTATCTTATAATAACAGAAATCTATGGTGAGCGACCATTGAAGGTGACAAAATGTCTGACTGGTTCCACTTCCTCCATTGTCACATTTCTGTGTAAAGACAGTAATACTAAAAGTGAGAGCATGGGGCAACACAACGTCTGATCTGCCTCATGTGTTTCCTGTGTGTGTCATCACTATGAAGAGTTTGTGAAATATCAGGACAGTATTTGTAAATGAGTTCGATACAGCTTTCAGTTGAACTTCCTAGCCTTTTTAAGACACCTTTTAAGTTTAATGTGACAAGCTAATCCATGTAGACGCCTGCTACCAGTCAAATTCTGAAGTGTAATCTGATACTTTCTTTATATATTATGCCAGTATACAGGCATTATAAACCAACTGGTAGGTAGCCATCATTTCCTCTAAAACCACTAACACCAATTTTGTATTATCAGCCCAGCTTAGCCAGTTCAGGAAGTTCAACCTGCCCCAGGAGCTGCTGATACAGTTCTACAGAGGAATCATGGAGTCTGTTCTCTGCGCTTCCATCAATGTCTGCTTTGGCTCAGCAACCAAACAGGACAAGTACAGACTTCAGTGGACAGTGAGGACTGCAGAAAGAATCATCGGTGCCAACCTTCCCTCTGTGGAGGACTTGTACACCTCACGGGTCAAGAGGAGGGCAGAGAAGATTAACCCTGACACAAACTGTTTGAACTCCTCCCTTCTGGACGGTGCTACAGGTCACTGTGCACCAAGACAACCAGACACAAGGACAATTTCTTCTCCTAGGCGATCACACTGACGAACACTTAACCCATGACTGTATAACAGAATGACAACTCTTAATGCAATATCTGTAAATACACCTTTGTATATATGGATCTGAAAAACTCCATCTAAACTGTGGATATACACATATATTTTATATATATATACATAGGTACTTTATTTTTATTTTATATTTTTCTAATGCGCAGTCCTTTTTCATGTTTGCACATTTTTTTCTTTGTTGTTCTCTCAGACTTCTCTTGTTTATTCATTGCCCTATGGAACAACATTGTTTATGCACACTTGGAGCCACTGTACCAGAGTCAAATACCTCATGTGTCCAACACACGTGGCCAATAAAACTGATTCTGCTTCTGATTCTGATCACTGTCAGTGTCTCTATCATTTTTTTGTTACCAGTATTAAAGAATAAGAATAAAATAGCAATCAGAAGCAGAACCACAGTGACTTCAAGTGGACATGCAGAAATTCTTTTAATTCATGGTCTTTGAAGTGTCCAGTGAATGGTAAATGGTACTTGTATAATTCTTTTCTATGCATTGCAGCACACTCAAAGCGCTTTCACACTATTTGGCCATTCATGCTCCCAAGCACCAGTGTCACCACTTGGAGCTCAGTGTTTTGCTCAAGGACACTTTGATATGTGGACTGGACAAGCCAAGAGCTGAACCACTAATCTTCCGGTTAAGAGACAACTCGCTCTACCTCCTGAGCCGCAGCCACTGAATGATATAAGTTCTACAAATTCAGAACAGTTTGTATTTATATATGTATAAACACTCAGTCCTCAAGAGAACCAGGAAACAAATTGTTTCAGTCAAACATGCCTTGTTTGCTCATGATTTGAATCCAGATTTTTGTTGGTGAGTAGCACTATTTTCTATTTAAGGGTAAGATCTGAGTTCAGCAACAATATCCATAAAAGGCCCAAGAATTTAAATGATACATTATTGAGACTTTGCTTTAAAAAAAATAGCTGCATGGACTGCCAATCATCCAGAAATGTCTGTGGGATTGTTCGGCTCCTTCTGACTTATATGTGGCTTAAGAGGAGGAGTTGTTTTCTCAGGACCTTTACCAGTGGGCCAGGCTTTGGTGAGGCAAGTGGGCTGGCTGTTCTGCCTACAGGATGAGAATAAAATGGAGGTGGGAGGGGTTAGTGGGGTTTTGGAAATGCCTTTTTCAGCCTTTCTTTTCTTTCAAACTACAGGGCTTCCATACACACACTCACATAGAGACTCACAAACAGACAGCAACAGCAGGGCCCAGCAGACAAAGTCAGGATGTGACATCATACACAGGAAGAGGAGCCAAACAACTTTTTCTTTCTTTACTGTGTTGTTTGTGCTGGTGAGTGAAGCTGGAGCTTCTTGGTTTGTTAGTAGCCAGCAGGGAGGGAAAGGACCCAGAGGATCCAGACAGGGCAAATCAACTGGAGCTGATTTCCACACGGAGTTTAAAGCCAAAGGGACTGAAGCCCAGTGAGGGATTTCAGCCAGGTACAGTGCAGACTGCTTTTTCCATTCTGTAATCTCGAGTTTTTTGATATCCCTCAGATTCCTCCTTTGTTTCTGGTTTCTGCAACCTGTAGCTGTTTGCTTTCTCATTCTTGTGTGAAGACTTTTCTTTGTTTGCAGTGTCAGAGGCAAATTCCATAAAACCCATGAAAGTATGCATGGGAGCCTGCCAACCCCAGTATCTGATCAGACATGTCGAGGCTTCTGAGGCATGCAGAGAGCCTTAAAGTGGTCACTCTGTCCCGCATGCTGCCACCTTTTGCATAAATCATCATGTCTTCAGTAACTACGAGTGTCCAGGTTTATTGTTTGCCTAGAACTGTGCTTTACAAAGCAATGTAACTCAGAGCCTTCCTCAGTTGCCCTTTTTTATTGATACATCTAGAACTATCTCATGAACACATACTCATGCTCCTCAACAACTGAGGTTTGAACTGAGATCAGGCAAACTGTGACAGCTGCTGGAAAATAAAAGTCCCCCTTGCTTCTCATATATAAAATGCTGTTGGTGTTTTAAATCATCCCTGTTTACTCAAAACACCTTAGAGAGTGAACACAACACCTAGTTAAACTATCAGCTCAACATTGTGAGTTTTCTGAACCTTTTTCTCAGCCAACTAAAGTTCACAACAAACAGCCGGTCTCAGTGTCTGGCCTATAACACTGGTACAAATGATAAAGTAAAGACATAAACATCTGCTAATTTGAGTCATACAGAAGCAACCACAGGAAATGTTGAGACCAGCAGTTCAGAATGGGACTCAGGACACAAATGCGGATATAGTATCATGTTGCATCCACAGTCACTTGAATGTGTGTCACATCTGGGGGAAGCAGCATATTCGTTATAACTCTGAAATACTGAATGGAAACACAGTTCTATAGTGTGTTGGCGGTTAACACTGAAATGTAATCCTTATGATTGTGTGACCTATCTAGACTCTATTTCTTATAAATCATGCACTCTATTCTCTCATATTAGCACATGTTAACATTCTAACAGTATACAAACATTCATTTTTTTATTATCTTAGCAGTTAAGGAATTGGATTGTGTAGCCTTTTGGTGAGGTCCTGCACCAGATCAGTGTGTATCACCTGCCATTAGATGGTCAATACCTGGTCATTAGCTATCAGAAAAAAAAAATTGCTCAATAAGCGACTGGTTACATTTCATATCCCAAAAACTCTTTTCTCAAAGGGTGAATTTGAATGTTATTCATCAAATGTTATGTTCAGTGTTTTTATACTAAACTTTGCACTTGATTTATTTTTCTGATTCTGAAAAGTAAGAAAAGTTATCAAATTAGTCTAGTGGAGTAAAAAGTATAATATTTGAAGTAGCAGAAAGTTAAGTAAATGTACTTAGTTATGTTCCACCAGTGCCTAAAACAACAAATTGGCAGGTAAAGAATAAACATTTGACTTCTATTATTGTTTTGTTTCAGAGTAATGTCCCTCCATTTGAAAATAACACCTTGCTGCAGTCTTCACATGACAGACACTGACCCCCAGTGACCCGATCTCAGAGCTTTAACAAGCCTTTCTCAGGAAGCTCCTGCTTTTTTCAGCTCATTCTCCCCATATCTCAAGGGAAAACATCTGAGCCAATGGCATTGTGTCTTGGACAAGTGTTCAGCAAAGACAAAACTTTCAGGCCGAGGAAGCGGTTTGAGCCTGGCACCCAACGTTTTCAACTCTACAAGAAGGCCCAGGCCTCGCTCAAATCTGGCTTGGACCTGAGGAAAGTGGTTCAGTTGCCAGAGGGGGAGAACATCAACGACTGGATTGCTGTTCATGTGGTAGATTTCTTTAACAGGATCAACCTGATTTATGGCACGATGAGCGAGTATTGCACTGAGCGCACATGCCCCATCATGTCTGGGGGGCTGAGGTACGAGTACAGATGGCAGGACGGTGACGATTACAAGAAACCCACCAAGCTGCCTGCTCTCAAGTACATGAACCTGCTGATGGACTGGATAGAGTCGCTCATCAATAATGAGGACATCTTCCCCACCAGAATAGGTGTGTGTGAGGAGACTACAAAAGAAGGCATTAAATGATTACTGAGTGTGTAACTTAATATGCGATCTGCATGTTGTGTTGCATCAATACTGAAGCAAGTCCAGTGCTTGTCTCCTTCATTAAGATCCCAAATGGGATAGTAAAGTTCAAGCAGAGGTTAATTAAACAATAAGGTTGACATTTAATGGAGATTGAACGGGTGAATGGTGTTATTTTATCTCAGCTCTATATTTAGCAATCGGCATTTATTAGACATGGGAATGTCATGCATAGTGGAGTGAGCTCAGGTGTGTGGATTTTTCATGATTTTCTTTTACAAGCTGTAGGTTCCAGCTTCTGGAAATGCAGGCAAATTGAATTGGGAACTCTAAATTTCCCATAGGAGTGAAGGGTTTTGTCTGTTTGTTATCCCTGTGATTTGTCTAGGGTGCTTATAGTGTGCACATCCCGAGAGCAGGAATAAATAGCAATGGGAAATGAATAGATAGTGTAAGCAGCAAGACTCTAGTAAGTGCTGTAGTATAGTGGTTATCAAACTTTGCCAGTCAGGGTTCCTCAAAACCTTTTCAAAAGGGCCTGAGTACACCTAGACATTTCAGACGTTTATTCACTACTTTTAGCATTTAAGAACCCCCTGGGTTGTGCCCTGGGTTGAGGACCATTGCTTTGCTGCACCTTTACTTAAACATATACTGTATGAGTTGTCACTTCTTCAACACAAAGCGCAGTCATTTTTTTGTTATGTTGTTATGGAGCTGAATAGCTGTCCCTGGTAGGCTAGTAGTTAAGGCGCAGCGCTCTCAGGTTCGAATCAGGGTTGCGTCAGGAAGGGCATCTGGCATAAAACACGTGCCAAATGTCAACATCAGCGAGTCGTCAGTGCGACGATTCGCTGTGGCAACCCCTAAATGGGAAAAGCCGAAAGTGACTTTCTTTGTTATGGAGCTGAAACATTTATGTTTTTAAATATTTTTTTCATAAAGGTGTAATGAAGTATTATGCTTCAGATCCTGCATTTACTTTCTGAATCTATAACAGAAAATGATTACATTTTTGTCTCATGTCAAATCAAATAATTTCTCAGGTGGAGGTTTTTCTTTAACACTTACATCTCTCCTTCATACCAGGTGTACCTTTCCCAAAGAACTTCCAGCAGGTGTGCAAGAAGGTCCTGAGCCGTCTCTTCAGAGTGTTTGTGCATGTTTACATCCATCACTTTGACAGCATCTGCAGCATGGGTGCAGAGGCCCACATCAATACCTGCTACAAGCACTACTACTACTTCATCTCAGAATTCAACCTCATTGATCACTCTGAATTGGAGCCCCTGGTGAGATGATGTAACCTCAGATGTGTGAGGGTGAAGTAAGGGAACAGGAGAAAGCATCATCTAAAGGGAGGGTTGTCGCTAGCCTGTCACTCTCGTAACTGTTACTCTAGCAGAAAATATTAGTTGCCACTTGTACAGACTGTACAATTCCACAGCCTTACTGAACACATGAACTAGGGCAAGCATAGCAATAATTTTCCATCAGCATTCAGTTCAATTTTATATCATGAAAGAAACTCGTTAACTGCTTTGTAAGAATTTGTTGGATGCAACAGCCCACATGGGAGAAGCTGTTGACTTTGTGCAGTCAGGTAATGAGGCAGAGTTTCTGTAGTTGTTGATTTCTTTCCAACAAAGGGAACTTCATCACATATGAGCAGAGTGTCAATAAAGGGCTTCAGTTATCATTATTATGAAGACTGGGCTTCCAAAGTGAAATATGGATGAAACATTTATGTCAACACCACAGAAATGATCATGTTTGTAAACAGACCTTTTCTATCCAAGACAATTTTTTTTGGTCCTATAGGAACAACAACTTTATTTCTTACACTAAAAAATTATGTTCTTCAGATTGAAAGTGTAGATTGCACTTCATAATAATCATTCCTTGAAACTATATGAATGTGATGTGTTAAACTATAATGTGTTTTTCTGCAGAAGGAGATGACAGAGAAGATATGCAAATAAACAACACCACATGGACAAAGGACTTTAAATTTTGATGTTGTCTGAGCCCTGTGAGAAAACATCAGCTTCAAAACACAAAACTAAGAACAACTGAACAAAATGTTGTGTGAGTGGATTTCTAAGAAAAACTGGGTAGGTCTTATCACACTTCTTCAGATGGTGGCAGTGCAACTTGATAGAGGTTTTTGCTTACAGTCATTGTGGTACTGTCATGTCATCATTATACTCTGTGTTGGTTTATAAAACTGCATTTGCTGTACTCATGCTCTTCTTTTCCTTTGTGCATATGTTTTTATTTGAGCTTTGATATGCAGTGTTGTCTTATTTTTTATAAATGAAAGTTTGTATTTTATGTTTTTGTTGTTTAAACTTGTTCTTGGGCATAAAATGGTTGTCTAAAAAGTGACCGAAGTTATTGTAAGCCTTACGTTAATGGACTGCACCATCACCAAATATGAAACAAAACTGCACCATGTCTGTCTACATTACTGAATTATACACTGAATCACAGTTTGGAAAAACAAAACAGCATAGATGTAGCGTCATTTTTCATCACTTATTTGCTTTAAAGGTTTGATCTGATCTGCTAGCCAAATATAAGCAGTTTCATACCAAAACTAACACACAAAGACAGATTTAATTGGAAAAAAGTAGAGATAAATGTAGACAGGGATAAACTGTAAACTAAAAATTAATAATGATGAAGTATTGGAGATGTGTGGCGTGAGCCGTACTCCCTCCTTCCAGTTATGATCTCACAAACCTCTAAAAGTGATGTGTAAATAAAAGTCAGCTTCATGCACAAAAAATTCTCTATGTGAGTCAGAGGGAGGAGTCAAGTGAAGTGACGTAGGGGTGGTAGCCTTGTTCTTGACTAATGGCAAACGAAGGTATGAAAAAAGGGGTGTGATAAATGTTTGTTGCTGTTCTCCTCCCCTGTGTTGCACTATCCGTTGGACTGCTGGGTGTCGGCTAGTTAGCTATATGGATGCTTACATCAGCTGTAAGAATATTTGACGGAGGGGCATTTGACTGGCTTGGATGCACAGTCCAGGTCAGAACGGCTTACTGCATTTGTTTTTACGTTTTAACGCTACATCAAGGATGTCTAAATACATCATAGCCGGAACACTGACGGCCATTAATGTGTAGGACAAGTTAAGGGTTCTTGCTAGCTCACTGTGGCTAACTACAATATCAACATCTAATTGTACATTCAACAGTTAGCTAATGCTAACTCTAGCTTTTCTAATGGTCTGGCTAATCTTTTGTATGTAACTCTTAGTTATTGTTATCTGCTGTCTTGACTGGATGATTTTGCTAACGTTTGCTAGGTTAACCAGCGTTAACTTTAGCGACTTTCATGAGAACAGCAGTATGCTAAATATCACTTTACGCTGGTATAAAGCTAAGTAATGTAGCTATATGCTAAAATGTTTAACAGCAAGCCAATGCATTTTTTGTTAACTTTAGCGACTTTCATGAGAATAGCAGTATGCTAAATATTACTTTACGCTGGTATAACGCCAGGTAATGTAGCTATATGCTAATATGTTTAACAGCAAGCCAATGCATTTTTAAGTATGGCATATTAAGTTAGTTATTTGTTTGGAGGGAAGATAAAGTTAGCCAAACTAACTAACTAAAGGGTTAAAGGAGGGCCCCTCTTACAGAATCTTGACAGTCTGGGCAAAATGTGGCACTAAAGGTTTAAAGGAGGGCCCCTCTTACAGAATCTGCTAATAACGTTAACTAACGTTACATGTGAAATTACCCCGGGCAGGTTCAGAGCTATGTGGTTTTTATAACGTTAGTTCATATTTTTTTTTACTTGCCACCTATTTGAACTGGCATGTATTTATGTATCTGCTGATGCAATTTATTCCAGCCTACAGTAAATGAATATTTGTGATGTGCCATCAGTTGGCAGATATGGTGAGGCACAGTGTGATAACCGAGGTGCAAGCCTTCCAGCACTCTGTCCAGGTAGGATTTTGTCTTTTTACTGGTGATTTAAAAACCTCTAACTTACTGAAACATGCTGTCTTAGATATTACCCAGCTGCCAGAAAGTAGAGCACACACTGTTAAGGTTATCGACACTGAAATAGCACTTTAATCACTCTCCATGCGTCATGCACTGTGGCTGGTTGTGTAGATGCTTCTGATAATTTCCAGGATGAGGTAAACCTGATATGTTGTTTCCTCTATTCTCATCAGGCCACTCTTTTGACAGGCAGCCGAAGAGGAAGATAGTAATGTTGTAATAGCAGTTATATGACCATAGATTTTTAGAGGATGAACAGGAGTTACCAGTTATGAATGTATGTTTTCACCACGCTGGAGACCATAAAATGAAAGAAATTACAGGTTTTCTTTTACTTTAACACTGGAGGAAACAATGTGGTACAATTATGTATTCCTTTTCATGCCATGTCTACTACACCACCACCTGATCTTTCTGGCTGCTCTCACACTTTCCCTCCCTCTCCCTCTCCCTCCTTCTGACCTCCTTCTGTTACAGGGTAACTCCCTGGCTTTGGGCCAAGTAGGGCAGAACTGTGGGGGAATTCAGGAGAACATGGTGGCTTCAGAGGTCAGACAGCCCTTTTCCCAAGGCCTCTCAGGTACACCAGTTTATTATTCGAAACTATATTAGACTGACAGAGTCTGGACTGTTTTAACTAATTCTCTTGCATTTGCTGTGCTGCTACAGAAAATGAGAAAAGCCAGCCAGTGAACATCCCAGATGTTGCTAAAAGAAAGAAGAAGAAAAGAACTAGAGCAACAGACAGCTCCATAGGCACTTTTGATGGTAAAAACCTTGTATTATATTGGAACGATAATGTCAGTTCTGAAACTGATATATTTTGTCCACTCCTTGGCAAGCACTTGCTGCAGGTTCATATTTTCTTTATTTCAGACCTCTATAAGTTGACAGATGAGGTGCTTGGTCAGGGAGCATATGCTAAAGTTCAAGGATGCGTAAGCTTGCAGAATGGACAGGAGTATGCTGTGAAGGTGAGTGAAGATATTTTGCAGGTTTTAGTTATTAAATGCTGATTTATACAAAAAAAAAAAAACAACAACAAAGACAGCTTTGGAAGTTAGACAGTATGAAATCAAAATGTTTACTTTTTTTATTCAGACACTTTAAAATGTTCAGTCTGTTTGATTTACCAAGATCATAGAAAAGAGTGCAGGACACAGCCGCAGCAGAGTTTTTCGAGAAGTGGAGACACTCTACCAGTGTCAAGGAAACAAGTGAGTGCATTTAGTCTGAGAAACCTTTTAACTAAATTGAAACCACAGAATGAAAGAGATTGTAATCAGCTGTAAATCTCTTGGTCCAGGAATATTTTGGAATTGATCCAGTTCTTTGAAGATAGCTCCTGCTTTTACTTGGTGTTTGAAAAACTATGTGGAGGTATGTATAAAAGAATGACTCAACTAAAGTATCTACATACATTTAGCTGTTTTTTGTGATTCACTATGAACACACTGGCTACTCTTGTCTCTTCTGTCAGGCTCAATTCTTACACATATCCAGAACCGAAAGCACTTTGATGAACTGGAGGCCAGTAAGGTGGTTAGGGACATTGCCCAAGCACTTGACTTCCTACACACTAAAGGTAGGAAAACATCCCAAGAGTTATCCTACCAAAATCCAAATAGAAAAACCATGATTTTTTTTTTTTTGTATTTCGCCTTGGTGACATTTTGTTTTTCTGCAGGAATTGCCCACAGAGACCTTAAACTGGAGAACATCCTTTGCGAATACACTGATCGAGTGAGTGGATAGGAAGCTTTCAGAAGGATGTTAGTTATTCCTAAATGTAGAATATAACAACATACAATGTTAGTCCTCTTCTTTTCTACTCAGGTGTCTCCAGTAAAGATCTGTGATTTTGACTTGGGAAGTGGAGTGAAGCTAAGCAGTGCCTGCACACCCATAACGACACCGGAACTCACCACACCGGTAACAGTCCTGTATTGAATCCATAGCACATACACACAAGCAGAATCAGTGTAATAGATAACATTTAACTGTCTCTTACTGAATTAAAAAAAAAAAAAAAATTCCCTCTTTTAGTGTGGCTCGGCTGAGTACATGGCTCCAGAAGTAGTGGAAGTGTTCACTGATGAGGCGTCCTTCTATGACAAGCGCTGTGACCTCTGGAGTCTCGGGGTCATCCTCTACATCCTGCTGAGCGGCAGCCCTCCTTTCACAGGTCACTGTGGCATTGACTGCGGCTGGGACCGTGGAGAAACCTGCAGAACCTGCCAGGTATGCTCGCCTGCTCAGTGTCCATATCAGCTGATACAGCCATAGGCGTTCAGGTTCTACGCCATTTACAGAACGGAGGTAGAGTATGCTTCCCCTGTCATCACCACTCTGATACAAAGATTACATTTAAGAGAATAACATGAATGTTTCTCAGTTTGTGTGTGTGTGTAGAAGTCAGTACTGTGGTTTAAAACACAAAATTTGTGACTCAGTTTAATAAAATTCACAAACTTAAAAAAAAGTTTTTTCCCCCCCATATGATAATTTGATAAAATGACAGTATAGATCAGAAGTGGGCAATCCTAGTCCTTGGGTGCTGCTGCCCTGCTTTGTTTTATAACTGTCCTTGCCCTACATGGATCAGTTATGTTCAGTCAATCAGAAGCTGGGAGATACGTACCATCTTAGATTAAGATAGAGTGAGGAAAGACAAAGTGAATTGGTATTTTCCAGCTTCTGATTGACTAAACACACCTGATCCACTGAATCAGCACTAGGTAGGGCAGTGAGAGTTAGAAAACAAGCAGGGCAGTAGCACTCGAGGACCAACATTGCACACCCCTAGTATAAGGAAGTGGTGAGCAAGGGGGCTGTTATACACAGTAAAGCCCTTAGGCAGGATTGAACCATAAATGTTGCAGCTACATAGTGTAGATATTACCAGGATAGGATAGCAGTTATAAATAATGTCTTGCTTGCTACAGATGGGCTGTGTTTCTCAATCTGTAATAATAGTATATGTGCATGTTAGCTTGGCCATGGCTAATCAGCGTGTATTTTTGCAGCTGTTTTGAATATGAATAATTTTTATTCTGTCGGTGCATGGTTATCATGAGTTAGCATGTAATGTTGTCTCTGGGTTCATCAGGAAATTTCTTCCAAAAGTATCAACTAATGTGTCCTTCATTTTAAATAGCATTCACCTAAAGCCACTCCAACTTCTTTGTGCAGAGTGTTGCTTGTCTGCTTCACTACAGAGACCCTGACTGCTGAGCAGTGTCACAGGAGATTGTGTGATCTTCTTTCTTCAGAGTCAGCTGTTTGAGAGCATCCAGCAGGGCAAATATGAGTTTCCAGACAAGGACTGGGCTCACATCACTGAGGGGGCCAAGGACCTCATATCCAAACTGTTGGTTCGAGATGCCACCCTGCGCCTCAGTGCCGCCCAGGTCCTCAAGCACCCTTGGGTGCAGGGGGTGGGTATCATTACGAATGCTCATTAAAGTAGCTGATACAAAACCACTGTAATTCATGCAGTGTTACTTTTATTTATTTAAAGGTGCGATTTCAAAGACTCTCTGTATTCCACATATATTCACACATACAGTATATTACCTGTATCTATGTGATTTCCACAGAATGCTCCAGAGAGAGGTCTTCCAACTCCTCATGTTTTACAGAGGTATGACTGACAGTTTGGAAAGTCATGTCAAATGTGTATATGAAGTTTAAACGGGTGGTGAGGTCCCCACTCTGCTGGGGTCAGTCCAAACACACAGTGATATTTTTGTGGTCAGGCTTGCCTGGTGGTACCCGTGATGCTTTTGGAAACTGTCAGCTGGCTGAAAGACTTAGGGACAGTAGTCTTTCTATTTTTACTGTAAGGTTTCTATTGGTGTGCCTTCACCAAAGAAAGTAATTGAAATGTTACTACACTGAGCAGCTGACCTGTACAGAGCACACAACTGTCTCTCACATCCTCCTCTGTTCTTCTAGGAACAGCAGCACCAAAGACCTGACTCAGTTTGCAGCAGAAGCTATCGCCTTTAACCGGCAGCTGTCTCAGCATGATGAGCAGCAGGAGGACGCTGGAGCCATTGTTTGCTCCATGAGGCTTTCTCCTCCTTCTAACTCCAGACTGGCCCGCAGACGGGCGCAGTCCAATGCTCTGCGCACCGGAGACCTCACGCCCCCTTCAGATGACCTCGCAGCCTGAAGGTTATAAGGACAAACCCGCTTGTCGTGGTCTCTGGCCGGTTTTAGCCTCTGCCTGCTCCTTGTATGTCTTTTTGTTTTGACAGGGTGTTATGTGGGATCAGACATACACTAT